TACTTTGCATTAACTAGTTTAATGATAAGTATATGACCTACTCTAGGCCAATGAGACATGAAAATTTGCTGGAAAGTTCTGGAAAGTTCTTTGATGTTATTAGATAAGGTTATGAGGCTTGATCCACTTCCTTACTAGCCCTGGGAGTAAAATGGAGTTGAGGGAATGGCAGGGAAATGTACCACAGCTTCTGGGCTTAATTAATCCCAAGCCCAGTCTTTGACTCAACGTCCAGGCACAGGAGCCTTTTTATTTCTTTTTAAATATGTATGTATATGTGTACATAAGTATGTTGAGACGAATTCTTGCTATGTGGTCCAGATTGCTCTTGAACTCATGGTGATCCTTCTGCCTCTGCTTCTCAAGGGCTGGAATTATAGGCATGCACCACCATGTGCATTTCAAGCTTTATTTTTAACTGAGCTATAGTTTGTTGTGGTTGTGGTTGCTGTTACTGGCAGTCACATAAATCTTAATCATGCATCTCTAGTCTTTGTGATCATTCATGTATTTCTGCTTACCTTTTTTTTTAATTAATTAATTTATTTTATTTATTTATTTTTGTGTGTGGCCAGCTCAGCCCACCAGAGGGAGGGGCTGGCTGGCATGTGGTGCTGGGGGATTGCACCGCAGTTCCTGTGCTTTGCTAAGCTTGTTGTAAGTAGGTGCTTTAGACCACTGAGCCATCTCACCAGCCCTCTGTTTATCTTTTGAAGGCTCTAATTTTCAGAGTCTACCTGAGCTTGGAGAACAATCTCAAGTCTCAGACCTGTCCATTTATGCTTAAATATTCAAGAAGCCTTCCTGAACATGGGAGTTATTATTGTAATAATAAAATGACAGCACTTGTACTATAAAAAAATGACAGCCATCTGTTCACAGGACACCCAAAGGGACCCACACAATTGGATTTAGGCTCTAGTTCAGCTAGGCCTACAATAATAGCAAAACCTGGGCAGGACTTCAGGGAAAAAGAGAACGTCCAGAGAAAAGACAAATAGAAACATATTTGTAAGTAAATGAAAAAGTAACACTTCAAACCATGAGAGCAGGGGCTGTTTTATAGTCCTATAATGGCAGTTGAATGTTTATTAAAATGAAGTGCCTGATGCCTGGAAAAATAAACATGCTGACTGACTGTAAGGAAGACAAATGTGATAAAAGCAAGACCTTCCATTAAGACAAAAATGTCTGGCTGGGTAAGGATGGTGGTGAGTCCATATCTATCAAAGAATCCATGGACTCAGTTAAGTGTTGAAAGTGTAGAACTAAACATCTGCTATGTGTGACTTCAAAATCAAGTTCCACTCCATCATCCCCTTTCCAAATTCTTACTCCATGACAAATAGGTGGTAAATACTGACAAACAGCTGATTTGTGTTTTCCAAAATGAATACATTTAAATTTTTAAATTTTGATAAAATGCTCAGGCAATTGACTTTATTGAAATTCTCAGTGTAGAGGGAAGGTGAAATTACAATGATTGTGTAATTACTCTATATTCCACATAGCTATTTGTATTCTTTATTATGCTTGCTACCCTCAAATACTTCAGTTTTCTAAATACTTGAATAAAATAATGAAAAACAAGTCTTGTCTCAATGTGGGAAAAGTAATTTTTGTTTGAAAGTTGATACAATAAATTCATACTATGGTTCCCAAATTAGCTTTGAGATAAAATAGATATCAACAATTATGTCCTAGAAAAGATGAAACTTTAAGTGAAGCCAGGTATAGTGGTGCATGCCTGTAATGCCAGCACTCAGGCTGCTGAGGAAGGAGGATCATTGTGAGTTCGAGGCCAGCCTGGGCTACAAAGTGAGTTCAAGACTAGCCTGAACTGCATGGTGAGACCCTGTCTCAAAAAGACAAAAAAACAAAAAAAAAGTATGGTTGCCAATCAGCCTGTCAATAATTACCAGGGACACTTCAAGCAAATGTATTTACTGTGAGCTCTTTAATCAATGATTACTAACTCTAAATTTGGTTCACCATGGGCATGGTAGCACATGTCTATTAGCAGAGCATTCTGGAAGACTGAGGTAGGAAGACTCAAGTCTAAGCCCAACCTGGGCAGCACAATGAATTAGTGTGACCCTGCTTCAAAATTTAAATCAAGAAAAAAAAGTTGAGGATGTAGTTTAGTCAAGGGCTCTGTATTTAATCCCCAGTCCCAGGGTGGGAGGATGTCTATTTTCACTCTGTCTTCCACAGAATGACTAATGATTAGAGGACTCTGAGGCATAAAAATCAAAAGAGAGTTTATAAATTGCAAAAGACAGAGAGAGAGAGAGAGAGAGAGAGACAGAGAGAGAGAGAGAGAGACAGAGACAGAGAGAGAGAGATCACTCACATGATATGCTATACTGTTTAACCTCATTCTGAACTAAAATCAGGTATTTGCCTTACCATCATTGGACCCAAAGCTTCCATCCATGGATTTTCTATGAAACCTGAAAAAAAGCAAAGACACATGCTGCTAAGACAGTGAAAGCCTCAGCATTTAACATTTGTTTTTTGTATGCTTTGCTGTGGATTTTCCTGTGAAAAATCTTTAAAAATGGGCCATTGGACATGTAGAAATCAGAGCCCTGATACACTGCCATCAGAAATGTAAAATGGAACAGCTGCTCTGGAGAACAACATGGCAGTTCCTCAAAAATTGAAATACAAAGTTGTCATGTGATCCAGCAATTCCACTCCCAGGTATTTACATCATTCATTCCATTTGTTCATCAGTTTATGGATATAATTTGCATACTATAAATTTGCTCTTCGATGAGGTATAAAATGAGGATTTTTATCACTGCAAAAATAAACCCTGTGCCCATTTGTAGTCATTCCTCAGCTCTTCATTGCCTTCTTGCTCCATGCCTGGCAACCACTAATCTTTTTTTTTTTTAGACATTGTTTTGCTGTATAGTCCAGGCTGGTCTTGGACTCACTATGTAGTCTAGACTGGCCTCAAACTCATGGTGATCCTCTTGAGTGCTGGGATTACAGGCATGTGCCACTATGCCAGGCTACTAATCTACTTTCTGTTGTTAGAAATTTGCTGTCCTGGACCACTCATATTAATGGAAGCATACTATATGTGAATGTTTTTACCAGTTTCTTCTACTAGGCATAATATTTTCAAGGCTTATCTATGTTATAGCATGTTCAGTTATTTGTTTTCACTTGATGTATGTTTTTCTTGTTTTCTTTTGCTGGCTACTATTAATAACACAGCTATTAATAGCACAGCTATATGTAGGATTTTCTGTAGCTATATGTTTACAATTCTCCAAAATATAAACTGAAGAGTGAATTGCTGGGTATGAGGTAACTGTGTAAGTTTTACATCCAAACTTTTTTCCATAGAGGCTGTGTAGTGAGAACTGCTGCTCTACATTCTCATTGGCAGGTATGAGGGTTCTGATTTCTTTATAAACCTGCTAACTCTTTTAAATCATCATGCCTTCTGTTACTTATGGGTATGACATCCCATTATGGTTTTGATTCACATTTACCCAAAGATGATTGGGGTTAAATATCTTTTCATATACTCACTGGCCATTTCGATATCTTCTTTGGAGAAATATCTAAGTTATTTATTTTTTTAAAAAATAAAAAAGTTTATATATTTGGTACAGGGTCTCACTCTGTAGCTCAGACTCATAGTGATCCTCCTGTTTCAGCCTCCCCAGTGCTGGGATTGCACACATACCCACCATGCCTGGTTTTCATGGCTGGCACAGCATACCCAGGGTGGGGCTGGCATGACATAGGTTACTGGGGATGGAACATGGGTCCTTGTGCTTGCCAGGCAGGCACCTAGACTGCTAAGCTATCTCCCCGGCCTAAAATATCTATTTTAAATGCTTTTCTATTTTTTTTCCTTCTGTAGTAGGGGTTGAACCCAGGAAGTGTTGAGCTATAACACTAGTCTTATTGATTGATTGATTGATATATTTTGAGACAGAGCTTCCTTAATTACTTAGGCTGGTCTTGAACTTGTGATTATCTTCTTCAGTTTCTCAAGGAGCTGGGATTACACATTTTGCTCCTTTACCTGTTTTTAATTGGGTTAGCATCATTGAGCTGTAAGAATTTTTTAAAATAACTTTATTGAGAAACAAATAGCAATGACAGTTTCAAAACCGATTACTAGCACAGTTTCAGTAATACATTGCATATTGTTGTCTTCTTAGTAGTCATTCATAGTACAAGATGCAGACATGATATCCTGTCCATGAACACTATTAAAACAAATATTTCTAAAAAAATTAAAAAATAAAAAAACCCAAATCTTTCTATTCACTGAATTAAGAGAAAGTAGCTGTACATCTATTGTAACTATTTTGAATATACAGATACAAAATGATCCTTCATTTATAACCCCCTTTGTTTGTTTAGTTTTGTCAGAGAAGGGTATTCCATTGTCATTTAAATATTGTAGGTGCATGAATTCAGCAAAATATTCCAATATAGTCCAGTAGTCCATAATAGTAATGGGTTTTCCGTAGGACTGGCAATTCAAAAGTTGTCAATTTGAGCCTTTGCAGCTCAGCATATTAATATGGCTTTACTTTTTATACTTCATTTTTATACTTTTCTGCTAGATGTTAAGACCAAGATAAAGCAAGACCTATATAACAAGAAATGTAACTCTTATATTTGACAAATTCAGTCAAATCTCCTCAGGATTTATCCTGAAACCCTGAATCACAGTTTTTAGATCCTTTGCCAATGTCAGCTATGTTGATGAGTCACGGCCAGTGCTTGACCAATTTGCTCTCTGTGAAAGTGTGAGAGAATGTTTTCTCTCCATGTGACTCTCCTTAGGCACATTGTACATCATCGATCACTTTCCTCTATGGCTGCATGATCTCCTTGATCAGAAAATTTGGGACACCTCTGAGTTACATGATGTTACAGTGCAGGTTCTCCTATGTCCTGAGTCCTCATTGACCTTGAAAGGCTAGGGCCAAAATGTTGGCTGTCCTTGCAGCCTTCTTTTTCTCTAATTTTTGGTCTGTAAACTTGGGTTGTTAACCCTCCAGAAGAGAAGCTTATTGTTATTACCCCACAACATAAGTAGTTGAGCTTAACCTCACTATCTGTCTGAATATCAAACATCTTAGACATAACATGGAACAGGTATTTTCCATAAAATATTGATATGTTAAACTCTAAGTCCCTATAGAATACGAAGGAAAAAAATTAAAAATATAAAAAATAAGAATAAGCATTTACATATTTTTACACAGAAATTTAGAAATCTAACCATAGACAGCATTGTAGCAGGACAATCCTGCGACATTTTTTTTCTTGTCTCTTGTTTTCATTTATTACTCTTTTTTTTAAAAAAAACATTTACTTGAGAGACAGTATGGCAGTAATTCATATGCATGACAAGCAGTACGTATTTAGAAGACCAGAATGACAGGCATTCCAAACATGACCCTGGTATTACACATTGCTATCTTCAGTGCAGTTAAGAATTTTTTATGTAGCATAAATACTACATTCTTACCAGATATATGGTTTGTAAACATTTTCCTTCATTTTATAAGTTATCTTTTCTTTGACAGTATTTTTTTTGTGTGTTTTTAACTAAATTTACTGGTACAATTTATTTTTTTAAGGTGGAAAAAACAGACATTTGTTTAACCAAGACTTTATATACAATGCAGCTTTTTAATTTTCTTTTTTTCCTACTTTTTATTATGTCAAATGTGTAGATATATTTGAAGAATATTTCCATTCATATTATTTTTTTAACTTGCGCTACAGTAAATTATCACAAATTTAATGCTGTAGAGCACCACCAACTGATTATCCTGCAGTGGACATCAGAAAATTAAAATGCATCTGATGTGACTAAAGTCAAGCTGTTAGCTGCACTATCTTACTTTTGGAGGCTTGGAGTTGTAATCATTTCTTTGCTTTTTCAAATATCTCATTCAAACATCAAGTCTACATCCTTTGATTTACTCATGGCTTCTTCATCTATATTCAAAGTAGATCACTTCAACCTTTGCATCTATAATCAGTTTTCCTTCTGCTTTGACCTGTTTCTGCCCTGTCCTCAGGATCCTAATGATTACTCTAGGCCTGTATGAATAATTCAAGATAATATTACCTCTTTTGGATAATATTGCTGACCCAGTCATTCTCTGTCACACCAGTGAGGTTAATCTCCCCAGTCACTAGCAAGACTTAAAAAAAAAAAAATCTCTTAAATAATGCTATAATATACTTTTCAAAATTAAATTAAATTAAATTTAAAAAATCTATACTATAATTGGCCATGTAATGTACCACAGTCACGGTACTAACACCTGGACAGATTTTTTTTGGGGGGGGGCATTATTCTGTCTGCCATATCATCTTAGTATAATCTTCTAATTCATGAACATGGAAACTTCAAAAAACTTCCTTTTAGTATTTATTTGGGTTTTATGCTTCTTTGAATGATGTTTTGTAGTTTTTAACACACAAATAATACACTTAGTTGTCAAATTTATTTTTTGTTGTTGTTTTAATTACAACCCTGGGTCTACAAGGTCTCACTACACAAACTGGTCTCGTAGTGATCTTCCTGTTTTCAGCCTCCCAAGTCCTGGGACTACAGGTGTGCACCACCACGCCCAGTCTCATTTGCCATCTCATTGTGCCCTGAGAGTGGCACAGGATGCCGGGGATCGAATCCAGTCCCTGTATCTGCCTAAGCAGGCACTTTAATCCACTGAGCTATCTGACCAGCCCTAAATTTACTCTTTAATATTAAATTTTTGATGATTTTGTGAATTATCTCATAAGTTCATTTTTGGATTGTCCATTGCTTGCATATGAAAATACAACTGAATTTTTTATATTTTTTTTTCTGACAGTTGTGACAATGTCAAAGTAGTGGCAAGCTTTATTATAGAGCTTATTACAGAATGAGAAAATCTCCATTTGTGACCACAAATAATTAAAAAGAAACACAATTATAGTCCCATTGGAAAGTATTCTGGCTGCTGTTAGGATTTTTTTCCCTCAACTTATAAATTTCAGACTTCAGCTGAATACTTTCACACAGATTTTCTTCTTAAGGCACAATCATGATTCACTTTTTCTTTAATAGCTCAGTCATTTCAGGAACCACCTTAAATAAATCTGCAACTATTCCATAATCTGCCACCTGGAAAATTGGAGCTTCTGGGTCTTTATTAATAGCCACAATTGTCTTGCTATCCTTCATCCCAGCTAAATGCTGGATGGCTCCAGAGATTCCAACAGCAATATAAAGTTCTGGTACTACGATTTTTCCTGTCTGACCAACCTGCATATCATTGGGAACGAAGCCAGCATCAACAGCCGCTCGGGACGCACCAACTGCAGCGTGTAGTTGATCTGCCAAATCATACAACAACTTAAAATTCTCTCCACTCTTCAAGCCACGACCACCAGATACAACCACTTT